TTCTTAGACAGACTGTACATGAGTGTCCCTCCCACACCTTGTGTTCTTAGACAGACTGTACATGGGTGTCCCTCCCCCCACCACCTCTCGCTCTCGTTCGTTCTTGGACAGCTGCATCTGCTTCAGCATCTGGGACCTCTGCTCCATCATCAGCGTCTTCTCGTAGGTGAATGCAGAAATGTCGTTTTCAACCTGGAAAGTTCCAGGGCACAGAAGTGAACATCACGTTCCCATTCCACTCCTGGAAGGCCCTGGACTACATGAAGGGTCCATGTGGCCCTGGGGGCTTCTCCAGCCTCGCCCCTGTCTGTGAGTCCTTAGGGCCTTTCAGAGCTCTCAGCACTGGGACCACCCACCTGGGAGGGCAGGGGGCACAAGTGAGCACATGGGGGCCTACGTGAGAATGTGGCGTATGGGGGAGGCAAGGGTGTGTGTGTGAGTGTGTGAGCGTGTAGGTGTGGGGGAGGTAAAAGTGTGTGAGAGTGAACATATGGGTGAGTGTGGGAGGGCAAAAGTGTGAGTACGTATGTGAGTGTGTGTGTGAATGTGGGTATGGGGGAGGGTAAGAGTACAAGCATATTGTGAGTGTGAGCGTGAGCGTGTATGTGGGTAAGTGTGAGAGGGTAAGAGTGTGTGTGAGTGAATTAGCATAAGTCAATATGGGAGGGCAAGAGTGTGAGCATGTGTGTGAGTGTGTGAGTGTCTGGGAGTGTAAGAGTGGTGTGAGTATGTGAGTGAGCATCTGGGTGACAGGGTGTGAGTGTGTGTCAGTGGATACGTGTCAGCATGTGTGTGAGTGTATCAGCATGTGTGTGAGAGTGGGTGTGTCTGGGAGGGTAAGTGTGTATGTGAGTGAGCACGTGGGTGAGAGGGTATCAGTGGATATATGTGAGCATGTGTGTAAGCATATGTGTAAGTGTGAGCATGAGTGTGTGTGTGAGTGTGGGTGTGTCTGGGATGGTAAGAGTGTATGAGTATGTGAATGAGCATATGGGTGAGCGGGTGCGAGTGTGTCAGTGAATGTGTGTGAACATGTGTGTGAGCATATGTGTGAGTGTGAGTATGAGCATGTGTGTGGGCAAATGTGAGTGTGGATGAGAGTGTATGATAGTGAATATGAATTTAAGTATTTGTGTGTGTACTGGAGGGTGTGAGTGTGAGTGTGAGCATGTGGGTGGGCGAGCATCGGACTGAGGGAGCAGCAAACACAACCAAACATGCTCTACTCCCCACTCAAGTCACCCTTCCTGGAACCCACAGACACTAACTCACGGACACTCTGTCATGGATTGAACTGTGTCCCCAAAAAGTATCTGTCAACTTGGCTAAGTCATGATTCTCAGTCTTGTATGACTGTCTACTATTTTGTCGTCTGATGTGATTTTCCTGTGTGTTGTAAATCCTATCACCATGATGTTAATGAGATACGGATTAGCGGCAGTTGTGCTGATGAGATCTACAAGACTAGATAGTGTCTTAAGCCGATCTCTTTTGAGGTATAAAAGAGAGAAGCAAGCGGAGAGACATGGGAACCGCATAGACTAAGAAAAAAGGGCCAGGAGAATAGCTCATCCTTTGGACCCAGGGTCCCTGTGCAGAGAAGCTCCTAGTCCAGGGGAAGATTGATGACAAGGACCTTCCTCCAGAGCTGACAGAGAGAGAAAGCCTTCCCCTGAAGCTGCTGCCCTGAATTTCAATGTTTAGCCTCCTAGACTGTGAGAGAATAAATTTCTCTTTGTTAAAGCCATCCACTTGTGGTATTTCTGTTATAGCAGCACTAGATAACCAAGACACGCTCCTTCAGGAGGAAACACTCAGACCGTAGACCATGAGCTAACCCAGAACAGAGGCGTTGAGAGCTCTGCACGTGGGCATATTCCAGCCAGTGACACAGAGGCTGTGGCCAGCACACAGCCCGGAACCCCAAGGACACATGCTCCCAGGTAACAGGAGTCATGCCCTGCTGTCCAGAGGACACAGAGTCACCCACCTCGAAGAGTGTGACACCTGTACAGTTAAACTCCATAGCTCACCCGGCTAGTCACTGGACAGCTAAGATCAGAAGAAACACAAGTTGTTCCCTAGGCAGTAGGGAAAACTGGTCTGAAAGCTCAAGAAAAAACAGTGACATCAGCAAGATGGCGGAGCTGACGGTGCCAAGGTCCCCTCCCTCCACAGAAATGCTGAAAAATAAAAGGAAATGCCAAAACCAGCTCTGTCAGAACTATAGACAATAGCCGAGGGTTTACAGCGACCAAGCAAATGCTGAGTCAAGAAAAAAAGGACTTAAAAATGGTTGAAAAGCTTTGTGTTACTTCACTTGCCCTTGTCTCATCCCCTCCCTGACTCAGGAAAAGCAAAAATTGACATAATAGAAGGGGAAAATGGACAGTTCAACAGTAATAGTTGCAGATTTCAATACCCCACTTTCAATAATGGATAGAGCATCTAGACAGAAGATCACCAAGAAAACAGAAGATCTGAACAACAAAGCAAGTCCAAGACAGCTGTCCTGGACTGAATTATGTCCCCCCAAAAATGTGTGTATCAGTTTGGCTAGGCCATGATTCCTGGTATTGTGTGATTTTTCCCATATGCGGTAAATCCTGCCTCCATGATGTTAATGAGGGAGGATGGATGGCAGTTGTGTTAGTAAGGTAGGACTCAATCTACAAGACTGGATTGTGTCCTGAGGCAATCTCTTGAGATAGAAAAGACAGAAGTGAGCAGAGAGACAGGGGGACCTCATACCACCAAGAAAGCCATGCCAGGAGCAGAGCGTGTCCTTTAGACTCGGGGTCCCTGCGCGGAGAAGCTCCTAGTCTGGGGGAACAATGATGAGAAGGCTGACAGAGGGAGAAAGCCTTCCCCTGGAGCTGACACCCTAAATTTGGACTTTTAGCCTACTTTACTGTAAGGAAATAAACTTCTCTTTGTTAAAGCCATCCACTTGTGGTATTTCTGTTATAGCAGCACTAGATAACTAAGACAACAGCCAAAGTATGAATGATCATGAATATATCCTGCCTGAATTTAGAGACCATCTCAAGAACAGATTTGATGGACTGAACACTAATGACCAAAGACCAGAGGAGTTCTGGGATGACATCAGGACATCATACCTGAAGAAAGTAAAAAGACAGAAAAGACCAAAATGGATGTCAGAAGAGACTCTGAAATGTGCTCTTGAGTGCAGAGTAGCTAAAGTGAACAAAAGAAACCAAGAAGTACAAGAGCGGAACGGAAGATTTCAAAGGGTGGCTCAAGAAGACAAGGTAAAGTATTACGAAAAAAATATGCAAAAAACTGGAGTTACAAAACAAAAAGGGAATTGGCATTTCTCAGGATGAACGAACTGAAGAAAAAATTCAAGCCTCAAGTTGCAATACTGAAGGATTAAGCACTTGATTTCTAGTCAAAAGGCTGGTGGTTCGAACCCACCCAGTGGCACCTCAGAAGGCAGGCAGGCGATCTGCTTCCAAAAGGTCACAGCCTTCAAAACCCTATGGAGCAGTTCTCCTCTGCATACATTGGGTCGCCATGAGTCGGAGTCGACTGGACAGCAAACAGCAACACCACTCACAAACATAAAGCGTGTCAAAAAGCAACCGCCGGGGTGCTCACCATCTCGACCACCTCCACCTCGGCGCTGATGCGCAGCTGATAGAGGAACATCTGCAGGTCCTTCTTCATCTGGATGCTGTTGTCGTCTACCTGGGCCACCGTGAAGATGCGCATGCGGCACTTCCTCCACACCTGGGAGGGGGAGCTGCAGCTGGTCACTCAGGCCTTGGGCAGGCCCCCTCATGGGGCAGACACATGCCTGGGCTACCCTCCCTCCCTGTGTGAGTCACAGATGAGCACTCTGACCCCCGCTCCCCTTTGCTTCCCACCCACCCCTCTGCCCGCTGCTCCCCTTTGCTTCCCACCCACCCATCTGCCCCCTGCCACCCCCATGACACAGACCCCCCGTGTGACACAGACCCTGTGTGACAGACCCCTCATGTGACAAAGAAACCCTCCGTGTGACACAAGTCCCGTGTGACAGACACCCTGTGTAACAGCCCCCGTGTGACGTAGACCCCCAAGTGACAGATGCACTCCATGACACAGACCTCCCTGTGTAACAGCCCCCCATTTGACAGACCCCTATATGACACAGACCCCCATGTGACAGACCCCCCATGTGACACAGAAACCCTCTACGTGACAGACACTCTCCCCTGTGACTCAGATCCCCTATGTGACACGGACCCTCTCTGTGACAGAACACCAATGTGACAGACCCCCTCATGTGACACAGATATCCTCCATGTGACAGCCACACCCCCGTGACAGCCACCAATGCGACAAAGACCCCCATGTGACAGATACACCGTGACACTGACCTCACCATGTAACAACCGAGTGTGTGACAGACCCCATGACACAGACCACCTGTGTGACAGATCCCTCATGTGACACAGACCCGTGTGACAGAGCCCCAGGTGACACAGGCCCCATGTGACAGACCCCATGACAGACCCATCTGACAGACACCATGTGTGACACAGATCCCCCATATGGCAGACTGCTCATGTGACACAGAACCCCCCCATGTGACAGAACCCTAAGTGACAGACACCCTTGTGACAGACCTGTGTGACAGACCCCCGAGTGAAACAGACTCCCCTGTGTGACACAGACTCCTCTGTGTGACAGAACCCCCGTGTGACAGACTCCTCTGTGAGACAGACCGCCATGTGACAGACCCCTGTGTGACAGACCCGAGGGACATGGCCCCCACCTTGTGCTGGTGCAGTAGGAAGGGCAGCAGCATGAGCATGCCCCCGTCGTGCACGACCCACCACACGTCAATGTTCCCGTCGCTGAAGCGCTCCTGGTTCTGCGGGAACAGGTCCACGTTCTTGGCCACCAGCAGGGCCTGGTGCGCCGCCGTGGTGTCCCGGACTGTGTCTGTGGAGAGAGGGCAGCACTGGCGTGTCACCGGGCAGATGCGGTGCAGCGCAGGCAATGCACGAGTTCCCACAGAGCCCTCCCCAGGCAGGCACTGAGGGTCCGCCCACACCAATGGCCTGCTGCCACCCAGAGGGAGAGGCACTACGGGCTTCAGCCCCCAGGCCACCTGGACCTCGGAACCCCACGCATCTAGATAGCCACAGGGCCGCACCCACCAACAAAGTTCTTCCAGGACAAGGGGTTGTCCGTTTGCCTCCAGGCCTCGGGCCAGGCCATCAGCACTGTATTGTGTTTCATGCCACCGAGCCCTGCCGACTGGATCAGGTGTGATGTGCCATCCCGCAGGCTGGAGGACACCACTAGCTGGCAGAAGCCCTTGGTCTTCTCCATGGCCATCAGGGACCGGATGTTCTACAGGAGACGGGGGAGTTCAGAAGGGGGCACTTGTCGTAGTACCCACTGCAAGGGGCCCAGGAGGCAGCATGGTGGAGCCACATCACAGCCCGCACCGACAGTAAGGCAACCCAAAGATCCACAAAAAGCTGCAAGAGGTAACGCAGGGTACTAGATCAACACCCAGAAATCAGTTCAAGAGGTGAACTTCGCTAACTCTGCAAAGTCGCAGGGTACTAGATCAACACCCAGAAATCAGTTGTTTCTATACACTTGCAATGACTATCTGAAAAGGAAACTAGGAAACCAATTCCATTTACAATCACGTTTAAAAGAATAAAATACCTAAAAATAAATTTAACCAGGGAAGTGAAAGACCTTTAGGTCGAAACCTATAAAACATTGTTGAAACAAATCAAAGGAGACCTAAATAAACAGAAAGACATCCTGTGTTCCTGGATTGTGGTTGCTGTTAGGTGCCTTTGAGATGGCTCCAACTCATGGTGACCTTGTGTACAACAGAACGAAACTTTGCTCGGTTCTGTGCCATCTCCATGATCGTTGGTGTGCTGGAGTCCATTGTAGCAACTCTTGTGTCAGTCTATCTCATTGAGGGTTTCCCTTGTTTTCACTGACTGTCTAACAAACATGATGTCCTTTTCTAGCGATTGGTCTTTCCTGACGACGTGTCGAAAGTAAGCGAGCCAAAGTCTCATCATCCTCGCTTCTAAGGAGCATTCTTGCTGTACTTCCTCCAAGACTGATTTGTTTGTTTTTCTGGCAGTCCACATTATATTCAATATTCACCAACACCACAATCTGAATGCATCATTTTTTCTTCTATCTTCCTTTTTTAATTGTCCAGCTTTCGCATGCCAATGAGATGACTGAAAATACCATGGGTCGGGTCAGGCACACCTTAGTCATCAAAGTGGCATCTTAGAAGACTTAATGTTGTTACGATATCAACACTACTCAAAGTCATCTACAGATTCAACACAACCCTTATGAAAATTCTAACAGCCTTCTTTGCAGGAATGGAAGCCAATCGTCAAACTCATATGGATTGTAAGGGGCCCCAAACAGCCAAAACAATCTTGAAAAAAAAAACAAGTAGCAGGATTCACACTTCCTGATTTAAAAACTTACTACAAAGCTATAGTAATCAAAACAGTCTGGTACTGGTATAAAGGTAGACATACAGATCAATGGAATACTACTGAAAGTCCAGAAGTAAACTCATATCTAAGGTGGAATTGGTTTTTGATAAGGGGGCAAATCCATCCAATGGGAAAAGAATAGCCTCTTCAACAAATGGTGCTGGGACAACTGGATGTCCACATGGACCCCTACCTTACACCACAGACAAAAATTTACTCAAAATTGACCAATGGTCTAAATGTAGGAGCTAAAACCATAGAAGAAAACAGGGGGTGAATTTTTATGACCCTGCATTAGGCAATGGTTTCTTAGGTATAACACCAAAAGCATAAGCAACAAAGAAAAATATAGATAAACTGGTCTTCATCAAAATCAAAAATTTTCATGCAATGGACATTATCAAGGATGTGAAAAGACAACCTACAGAATGGGAGAAAATATTTGAAAACCACATATCTGTTAAGGATTTAATATTTAGAATATATAAAGAACTCCTACGACTTAACAACAAAAAGACAAACAACCCAATCAAAAAATGGGCAGAGGATGTGAACAGACATTTCACCCAAGAAGAAATACAAATGGCCAACAAACTCATGAAAAGATGCTCAACATCTTAGTCACTGTTGTCAGATGCTGTCGAGTTGGTTCCAACTCATAATGACCCGATGTACAACAGAACACTGCTTAGTCCTGCACGATCCTCATGATCGCTGTTATGCTTGAGCCCATTGTTGCAGCCACTGTGTCAATTCATCTCATTGAGGATCTTCCTTCTACTTTACCAAGTATGATGTCCTGGGACTGGTCACTCCCGGTAACATGTCCAAAGTATGTGAGACGAAGTCTTGCCATCCTCACTTGCAAGGAGCACTTTGGCTGTACTTCTTCCAAGATTGATTTGTTCATCATTAGGGAAATGCAAATCAAAACCACAGTGAGATACCACCTCACCCTCACTGCGATGGCTATGATTAAAAACACAAAATAAGTGTTGGTGAAGAGATTGGAACCCTCATCCATTGCTGATGGGATTGTAAAATGGTGCAGCCACTTGAATGTACTTAACGTCGCCAAATTGTACACTTAAAAATGGTTAAAATAGCAAATATCATGACATATACGTGTGTGTGTTTAACACATTCAAGTTGGAAATCATGTGTTTGTCTCCCTGTGCAAACCACATGGGAAAATGGCCAGCCGCTCACCACCCTCTACCTCCCCCTGCCTGTCTAACCCCAGCCCTCCCCTCACCCACCTCCTCAGCACGCTGGGCCTCAGCATGCTTGTCCAGGTAGGTGCCCTCCAGCACAGAGCCCACGATGGTCAGGCCCTTGCCGGCCTTCAGCTGGCTTGTGAAGGAGAGCAGCCGTGGGTGCTTCACGGCCTGCTCTGCGTCCAGATTCAGCATCACCAGCACCTGGGGCCTGCAGGGTGGCATGGGGTGGTCAGCACAGGGCAGCCAGTATGGAGCAGTCAGCACAGACTGGTCAGCACAGGGCAGCCAGCATGGGGTAGCCAGCATGGGGTGGCCAGTGTGGGGTGGTCAGCATGGAGTGGCATCATTCCTGGACACTCATGATGGTGGGTGGCCAGTGTGGAGCAGTGCCCAGGAGACCCTGTGCAGGAACAGTGGCAGCCCCAACCACAGGGCATGTGGGGCCAGAGGCTGGCTGTGCAGTGGTCAGCCCACACGAGCCATCCACAGGGGACCCGTGTTCACAATGATGCTGCACCCCACAGCAGGTGACTACCCCAGGGCCGATGCTCACTGGAAGGACACTGCCCAGTGGGGTGGGGCGAAGTTGGAGCCGGGGCTGTGCCCTCTGCCAAGTCCCTGGTGCCCAGCCACTCAGACACTTGTCATACTCAGATCCCTGACCGTAAGGGGTGAATAGCCCAGAGGAAGGATGTGGGGCTAAGTTCTCCATACAGCTTCTTAATAAAATGCAGCTTCTTTAACCAGAGTCTGATGTCAGAAACAGCCACTGGCACATTTAAGGGCACTGGACAGGTCTTGGGTCATCGCAGGCACCCCGTGGCCACACTCACCTCCAGTTCTTGGTGTGGGGGGGGCCATGCTCCACACGGAGCAGTGCGTAGCGGGCGGCATTCAACGACAGGCCCCGGATGCCATCACCCCACTCCTTCTCTGCCCTGCAAGGGGAACACCAGTGAGTTCCCACCACAGACAGGGCACAGACCACCACACAGGTCACGGAACACCACACAGGCCACAGAACACCACACGGGCCACAGAACACCACACGGGCCACGGAACACCACACGGGCCACAGGACACCACACGGGACACGGAACACCACACGGGCCACGGAACACCACACGGGCCACGGAACACCACACGGGCCACGGAACACCACACGGGCCACGGAACACCACACGGGACACGGAACACCACACGGGACACGGAACACCACACGGGCCATGGAACACCACACGGGACACGGAACACCACACGGGACACGGAACACCACACAGGCTGTGGAACACCACACAGGCTGTGGAACACCACACAGGACACGGAACACCACACAGGACATGGAACACCACGCAGGCCGTGGAACACCACACAGGACACGGAACACTGCACAGGACACGGAACATCGCTCAGGACGTGGAACACCACACAGGATGCGGAACACCACACAGGCTGCGGAACATCACACAGGCCGAGGAACATCACACAGGACACGGAACACCACACAGGCTGCAGAACATCACACAGGACACGGAACACCACACAGGACACGGAACACCACACAGGCCACAGAA